CGCGCAGAACCAGGGTCTGCAGACGTGGTCGGCAATGCCAGTGTTTCCCCCAGGAATTGAACGCGGAGGGGAGAGGGTGTTGGAATTTCCAGGGCGTGAAGGGCGAGGCCGTGGGGGCGAAGGTGCATCGTACGGTTTCGCCAGGTGTGTGTTTTCAGGGACGCCCATGTGCTTTGAACGGGACTGTTCAGGTTTCCGTTTCAATTCAAATTTCCAACCAGCCTAAACGGAACGGTTTTCAAACTAGAACATTTGGGGGAAAAACGGATCTAGTTGGAAAATGACTAAAGTGGCAACTCTGCATAGAACGAGTTGACCACTAGGGGATATGGGGGCGCTCGAGGGGGTGCACACCCCGCTGTGTGTGGGGGGGGAAATGGACCTGGGGTGGGTGCAGAACCCGAGCTCCAGCCCCAGCCCCATGGCTACACGGCTATTTTTAGTGCCGTCACATGAGCCCCAGTCTGTAGACCCCACTCGGGGTCTGAGACTCACTGCTGGGGGGAGGGGGGGTTTGCCATGTAGACACACCCTGACAACCCCCCTCCCCATCTCAGAGCTATGCCTTGCTGGGGACGGAGAACCCACCGCTGCCTGGGCATCTTGTCCCGGTCTTAGTTCCACTGGGGCAGAAATTCGCAACTTATTTCCAGTCAGAATTTGTCCAGCTTCAACTTCCAGCCATAGGAGCTTGTTAGACCTTTGTCGGGGCTGGGCCAGTGGGCGCCTGGCCAGTGGGGTGCCCCCAACGCAAAGCCTCCCTGCATCCTTGTGCCCCCTCCCCCCATCCGTCTGTCTGTCCCACTGCACAGCCCGGAGCCAGGACTGCAGCCTGTCGGCACCCCAGCGAGGGAGAGAACAATTAATAATAGGAGGCGAATAAGAGGGGACTTGAAAACAATACTAGCTAGCTCGTCTCATCAGCAGCTCTCAACGCATTGTACAAGGATCATTATTCCCCTCATACGGAGGGGGAAACTGAGGCACAGAGCGGGGTCTGACTGGCTAATGTCACCCAACAGAGCCAGATATAGAAGCCAGGTTTCCTGAGTCCCACTCCAGTGCTCTAGCCACTAGGGAACACTGTCTCTCCTATAGTTAGACTGTGGAACTCATGACCACAAGACCTCACTGGGGCCAAGAGCTCAGCGGGACCCCCAAAGGGTGGGAGATTTCTATGGACAGTGCGACAATCCAGAGTGACACTAGATAGGATCAAACATCAATTGATTGGGGATGTAAACTCTCAGCCCCAATCTGATATGGCTGGGGCGTGGGGACTCATCCCCTGGGGGCAGGTCAGATCATCCGTGTAGGGCTTTTGCCCCGTCTCTGGAGTAGCTGGTGCTGGCCGCTCTCGGAGACGGGATGCCGGGGTAGATGGGCCCGTTGATCTGATCCAGCGCAGGAATTCCACGGTTCCATAGCTAGAAAAATTAGTGACATGATAATAATACAATGTTAATTCTGCTTTGCTCTCCAGCCCCTGCATCTGCATCCCATTCGAAGTATTTCCTCTGGAGCCACTCTGGGATCCTTCTGCCGAGCGTCTTCATTTAAAGCCATGACCTTTATGCCTCATCAATGGAGTTACAGTGCCTCTATTTAATTTACCTTCATAGAATGGCCTGTTTTGAATGACTCTTCCGGGCGCTGAGAGACTCAAGGCTTTCAGCTGAATAGGTTACAGAATTCACCTTTCATTGGGCAGGTCTGCACTGGAGGCTTTATTAACTGAAGTTAATTGCCTGCCAATTAACCTGCCTTTACCAATGCTAGTCAGGGCACCCAGTGGGCCTGGCACAATGAAATCCAAGGGAGTTGAAGCTAGATACGTTCAGAGTAGAAGCGAGGGGCAATTCTTTAAACAGTGCAGGGAACTAACCTGGGCTCTGGTGGATTCTCCATCACCTGGAGTCTTTACATCAAGATTACAGTTCTTTCTAAATAGGGTGCCCAGACAGCACGTATGAAAAATCGGGACAGAGTGCGTGTGCGAGTGTGTGGGGGGGTAATAGGAGCCTATATA